CTTCCTACCCCAACCTGGTATGGCTTTCCCTAATTGGTAGTAGAAGTATACATTAGGGTGGGAGCAAATGCATCCTAGGAATCTAACCCAATCCCACATTTTATACGTGGGGAAATAGGACCCAGAGACTAATGGACTTGGCCATGGTCACACAGTTAGTTGGTGGCGGAGCTAGGTCCAGGGCTCAGGGTTTGTGACGGCAAGTCCACCACCGCTCACACATACGAGCTTACGTCCCTTGCCCATAACTGCATGCCCCTCGCTGCCATCACACTTGTTGAGTCGTAGTTTCATTAGCAGATGTGAAGTTATCCTGCACATGTTTGCATCTCACAGAATTTCTGGAGTTAAATCACCGGAAAAGAGAAATCTAACCTTCTTGTCCCCTTAATCCCAATGCTTAGCAGAGCCCTTCAAGTCCTTCCTCTCTGAGTCTGGATAGAAAGGCTTTTCGGGAACAAGCGCTATCAGGGTTGCCCTGTATCTTCAGCCAGAGAAGCACAGTGATGAGATAGACTGTCACAGCCTCAGGAGCCTGGGGCTCTGGGTTTGAATTCTGGCTCACTCACTCACTAGCTGTACTGGCCCCAGACAAGTCACTTACTCTCTAGAGTTGCAGTGTTTTTTTTCTGTTTGTTTGTTTTTAAATATGAAATGTGATGATAATAATAGCTACTTTTCAGAGACATTAAGAAGGTTAAAACAATGAATGCATATAAAGCACCTATATGTATACAAAGCATATAATAAATGTATATAAAGCTCAGATGTATATAAAGCATATGACATATGTAAAGCAGATAATGAATGTATACAAAACTCAGAGTTACTAGTTCTCTTTCTCCTACCTCTTCTCATTTAATTAAACCAAAAATCTATTTTTGTCATCATTACCCAAGGCACTGTGGGTGGACTATCATTTTAAACATTATACAATATTTCTAGAGTTTTCAAAATAATCGAGTCATCCTGCGAAAACTTCTCAGCCTAAAGAAAAAAATTTGAAAACTTAGACTTTCTAGCAGCCTTCTTTTTGGTAATTTTAGAGTCACTGAAGCATGAGGCGAGATCAGGGCAAAATCCTCCTTTCAGCGGAAACACATAGCACCTTTCGGCAGTGGACACGTGGGATGCTGAGAAGAGTTAATCTGCTTCTTATTAGTAAGAATCCATAAACTATGCAATCCATAATCCTTCATCACAAAATGACAGTGACCATTATCATTTTCAATGTATGCTTTTGAAGGGCTCCATTTGCTTTGTCCACATTTCATCTTAATGTGATTCTAAAACACTTGGGGACCTTGCTGTTTACAGTGATTAGAGACATGCTTGGTTGTTTAGTGTCACGTAGCAGAGTTACTTGATGTGTCTACTTTTCATGGGGACATCAGTTTTTCAACCGCTTTGAGGTCAGAAGAGAAAGTGGCTGCACAGTGTACACATGTCAACAGCAGAAATTCCACATTAACCCCAGAGAGTCTGGCATGGCTGACAGTGGCTGCTCACAGAACAGGCCGGAATCAAGCAGCAGGTTTACAGGGTTGGGAGCAGGAAACCTAATTAGCCCAGCTCCAGGAATGCCAGAAAACCTATTTATATCTTTTGTTTTATTCTTCTAAGCCACCTAGAAGGAAAATTGCTCACAAATACCTAAACTCATTATATTAAAAAAAAAAAAAGATTAGTGTATGAAGTAATCTCAAGGATGAATCTGCAGTTTTTCTTTTGACCTCTGTTAGGATGACAGCCATGGAAGGGACTTCACAAATTTCAGACGGACACTAAGAGGACCGTGTCTAATTGTTACTTGCTAAGTATTACTGAAATACTTGCTGGTGGAAAGCGAATAAAGTCCAAAGACAATGCCATATTTTAAATAAATAAAAAAAACTACCTGCTACTGAAAAGAGATGACCCAAATTAGCACCCAAATATTTCTGCATCACTTCTTTGTTAGTGGTGAAATTCAGTTTCTGGGTGAAAACCACCATACTCACAGATGCTTCCGCCTTCTCCACATCCATAAACGCATCCTTCTCTTAAATGCTTTTATTCATGGTAATGAAGAGTGTATTATAAAAAGCATCACTTGACATTTAGGAAGCTACATTGCAAAAAAGGGCCTGATCAAAACTTTTGAGATTGTGCAAAGCACTGCAAGAGGACCTTAAATCTAATAATTAATGCTAATTAATCACTGACTAGATATGCTAACATCTTTGGAGACAGAAAGCCTACCAGCCCAGAGAAGACTCGTGGAGTCCTATCCTTCACACAGTAGGGGTGGGGTCAGAAGCCTGTCCCCGAAGCTCCTCCCCCCTCCTTCTCGACTCCCCCAGACCTCTCACTTTGCACCAATACTGGGGGAGGCTCCTAGGAGAGCAATGTGGGGAGCAATGAATTAATCCCAGTCCAGGTGCTCTTGGTTGTTCACTGAGGCTCACAGATGGAGAGGGGAGGTCAAGTTCATGTTTCCCGGGTGTCTTATCATCATCCTCATCCTCACCCAAAGCATTTATGAACTGCTTTCTACATGTAGGGCCCTCCGAAAAGCACAGGCACACAGACGTTAGGTTTTAATTGGCTGTGTACACACCAGACATCTCGATGAAGGGTGAAAATAATGTCAGTTTGTATGTTGGTGTCAGCATTTGCCTGTTTGGGGAAAACCTAGGTGTGAACATTAGAAAATGTCTCTCTACAGACGCTGCCTTTTTGTTTTCCTAATAAAGTTCAGACTTTCGTTTTGTTTCCCTCATCTTACTGTAAAAAATTTCAAACATACCAAAATGGAAAGAATTTTACAATGAACAACAGTATTCTACCATTACCATTTACTTAACTTGCTGTATGACATTTCTGTCCATCTATCCATCCTACTATCTATCCATCAATATATGTTTTTGATATATTTCAAAGTAGGCTGCAGACAGCAGGTAATACTGTATTTTAAAGGCGTAGAATCAAAGAGTCTTCTTACTCCTATAATGGTAGCTAGAAAAATGTATTCTTTTTTTTTAATACAAAAACAAGCTGATTCTGAATAATGCACACAGATATTCAACACAGTTAATCTACATGCACTATGAAAAGGACGATAAGTTTGCTCAGGGTTTTGTCTACTTGTATCAATGCCATAGACATTCCAGACTCCTCCAAATGTTTGGCTTTGTGAAGACACGGCTATAGATTATAGAGAAATAAGCTTTCTGCTACAGATCATCAGAAAAAAAAATTACCTGGAAGTACTAAGTAATTTACTTAGCACTAAGTAAATTTTGTTGTTTTGCTCTATACTCTATTTCCCAATTATTCCCTGAGTGTAGAAATATGAAGATTTTCACACCTCATTTCCCTCACTTATAAAGTGAGTTTTATAATATTATCGCACAGGTCTGTCATGAGGATCAAATGTGAAAAACAGGAAAACCCTCTGTAGGGCCCTATGCACAGCTGAGAGAGCATTATCGTTAGTAATCAGAATGCATCCGCAGTAAAACACAGCTGAGGTAATGGTAATGGTCACACCGCTACTTGGCTCCTGCAAATCAGTCAAAAAGATCTCAAAGGGTAAAGGGACAGAGTGTTGGCAGCTGCCTTCACTCTGCCCATCAGTACGTCACCTTGTCACTGATCGAGAAGAACCTTGGAGTATATCACACAGACTTGTTTTCATTAGAGAAGTGTTTGTTTTGGACATCGTCCCAGCCTTAAAACAATACTTCCATTAGCTGGGCACAGTACCTATAATTATCCATCTTATCTGACCCGTGCCAAGCTATGCTACTTGCTGCATCCCATTTATGCTGGTGGCTCTGAAAGGAGTGGGAGGCATTCCCTCAATGCATGAGGAGGTGCGGAGGATGCTTATTGTTTGACTAAACACCTACACATGAACTTTGGGTAGAAATGTCTGCAACAAAATATCATCAGGTACCATGAATGACGAGTCTAAAGGCGATGGAAACTCTCTGTCCCCAGATGGGAAAAATTCTGTTACATGAATATCTTAAGTTTTTTAAGTATAGCTTCCAATTTTGTGTCTGGCTGGACACAACTCAAGAAAGTGAAGAGCAAGGTCAAAGCCAGCTAGGGAACCAAGAAAAGACAAACTACGCAGGGAGCAAGCTCATCATCAATTACTGTTACTGAGAGCCTGAAAGACGTCCGGCACTTTATTTTATGCTTAAGGAGGAACTGAATAGAAAGATAGAGTTGAAATCACCCTCAAAAAGCATCCATTTCACTAAGAGTTATTTAGAGAAAACAATCAGGAGGCAGAAAAATTAGAAATTGTAAGCAGATGAAATAGGATGTGTAAAAAGAAAGAAATAAGCATGGTTTGTAATTTCATTACAAGTTATATTCAACATTGAGCATGTTTATCACGGGGACAACATCACAGCAATGAGAACACCTCGAAGAGGATACATATAGTTACCCCACAAGTCAAAGTATGCTTTTTATGTAGGAAAAGAAGAGGGCTCCTGGCAGCAAGAACACATCTTATACTGACACAGTTGCATCAAGCGATCATCCTCCAGTGCCGCTAAACATTATCAACACGCAGGTAAGTTCCCTACTTTGGTTCCATACTTATGAAGCAAACTTCTAATCAAATTTGTAATTTCGCATTCTATATGACACACATCCTGGGAGAAAAGGGTCATGAACTTGTTTGTGCTGCCAGTGAGATTTCTCACTGTGATTATAACAACACATAGGGGTGTGTGTGAACGTACAGACCTGCGTATATTATATACAAACACACACCCATATTCGACATGTATTTCTTAAAGAAATACTGCAAAATTTGAATTTATAGCAATGCAGATATCTAGATATATGGGCAAGAGTTTGTATCCTAATAAAATTATACCATCTCTAAATTAGAACCACGTAAGTATTTTTTTCTGTGCTACTTGGTGGTACTGTTTATTTCTTCTGTTCAGTGAGCATGTTTGGCTGAACTGCCGATGGCTCCTCCTTCATCTTACCTGACTGTCCAGGGGGAGGGGCACCCGAGGACCCACGTGGCAGGCAGAGGAACACAGTCAGCACAGCAGCTCTGCTTCCAGCACATGGCTCAATGGCTATCGGTTTGGGCGCCCCCTGAAAAAGCAAGCTCATTTTTAAAATGTGCACATTGGACATGACACTGCTATTTTACTTTTTTCTTCTCTATGCTTCAGTCAGCTAAACTGTATATTCAAGGTGGTTGGGACACACCATTTTGCATTTTTAAAAATAGTTCAAATATTTTACTGTAGTGATATGTATTTTTTTGTAGTGGTGGTCATTAACATTTAGAAGACATTTTTCTTGGGGAGTTACAGATTGGCACCTATTTGTATAATTTTTGAAAAGCACTCTTTGCTTTGTTCTATTGTTAGCTTGATAATTTTATTTTCTTTAGTAGAGTTAATTTTTTTTTTTTGAGAAGTTTTAGGTTCACAGCAAAAGTAAGAGGAAGGTGCGGAGATTTTCCATATAACCACACGTGCACAGCCTCCCCATTATCAATATCCCCACCAGAGTGGGACATTTGTTACAATTGATGAACGTGCATTGACACATCACATAATCACCCAGAGTCCACAGTTTACATTGGGGTTCACTCCTGGTGGTTTGGAAAATGGATAATGACATGGAATATCATGGTGGCATCATACAGAGTAACTTCACTGCTTTAACATCGTCTGTGCTCTACCTATTCGTCCCACTCCCCTCTCTCCACCCCTAGAAACCACTGATTTTTCACTCTCTCCAGAGTTTTGATATCATTTTAGTGTAGAAATGGCGGTTTTGACTATTTAACTCAAAACGCTGCAGGTGAGATATGGTTGACATATCAAAGCAACATCTATGCATAAAGGGAGAATTAAGTAGAAGAAAATATACCACAGCTTTAATTGTTTTTTAAAAAATGATTACGTTGTAAAAAATGATTACTGATGACATTTGAACTTTTCTGAAGACATACAGACATACATAGTCATTCACCTGGGATGTTTTAGAATACTACCACTTCCGGAAAGTTTAATGAGGCATTAAAGATAAAATATGTCCCCTTTCATGGAAAACTTGGACTGAAATTTCTGGTGACAATGGTTTTATGTGGCTATCAAGGGTTTCTTCTTTATAGCAACATAAATCTCATGTTTTAAAATTATCCTGATACAGATACACTTCGGGGGGTTTCAATATAAAAGGTGAAAGTGGCCATGAGGCTAGAAGCAAAGGGCTTTGAAATCTTCCAAGAAAACGCTGTAGGCCACGTTGTGATACTGGTATCAAGTTACATGATTTATGGTTTTACACTTTAAAGCTTACATTTAATTTAACAGACTTATTTTTGAAAATGTTAAGTCAAAATCAGCATAAGTACATAGACATTTTCCAATGAGGTAAATATTTAGAGAATAGGCTTGTCATATTCCAAGGCTAAAAGAAAAATACTAGGTGTTTTTTGAGCCATATTTCAAAGCTACTGAAATTTATTCTAATGTAACAAATGTAAAATATATGTAAAGGTCAATTGGTTAAAATATACTAAGAGAAAATAAAATGAATTGAGGTTTAAAGGATGGTGATATATTAGAAGTACCAAAATCCCTTTTAATATACCTAAGAAATAATCTATCATTTCTACCATCAGGAAAGGTTTTCTTTGCTGTTTTGTTGTTGTTGTTTTTCAGCTCTCAGTGCAATAACTGGCACCATTCAAGATATCCAAAGTCATGTTAAAAATACTTGGTTACAAAAATTAGAAGACTTTTACGATTACAACAAAAAAAACACAACAAACAAACAAACAAAAACAGTTAAGAAACAGTTTTTGGTTTAGGGGATTTAGAAAAACAAGAAACAATTTGAGGGGCCATCAGTGGATATTATTTTTAGGCTACCTTTCTGCTGTTTTTCACACTAGGAGAAAAGGTTTGAAATATGAAATGCTGATGCCAAAAGCACCAACTGAAGAGAAAAATTATTAAAAAATAACTGCACATTTCAGGTGGAAAATTACTTAATTATTTAATAGTTTAAACTTGAGAGATGCAGCAACAGATAAAGACAATGTAGTGAAATACCCTGACAATGGGAAAGGAATTATGCTTGCATAAAAGCCACTTCCGTAAAAAATCTTCCTTGAAATAATTTTTTCACTCTTAATTCTATGGCTATTGTACTGAAAATTTCAGAAATTTCTTTATATTGATAAGCTACATGAAAAGAGGTTATAATTCTATTTTAAAATCAAATTAGCTTACAACTTTGTCTATTTTTGGCTATAAAATTTTCATAAAAGGATATTAGCAAAAACATGAATTATTCATTATATTTAAAATATTAGTGACTAGCATAGCTCTTTGACACTTCTGGAAGGAATTCACATAATTAAAAAAATTATTTCCAAAGAATTTGTGACAAATCTCACTTTCAATAAAGATTTTTAATTAAACCATAAAAAAATCACACTTTCTATCACTTGAATTTTCCAACAGAAAATAGCAAAAGCCCACAAATGACATTTCTGATACCTTGACATTTGTCAGTGATAAATACATAACCACGAACCAAAATCATTTCACAATGACATAACATGCCTACTGAAGTATGCAATTTATCATACACTTTCCATGGCTGCCTTAGAAAGCGATAAGGCTTGGGTTTGTTTGCCCGCAGCGCTCAGCAACTGTGATTTACTTCAAGGCATTTTCATATTCGTCGTATTGTAAGAAGCTGGTGTTCGACCATGCCAGGAAACGTCACTGGCAGTTATGTAATTAGCAGTCATTGTTTATTAGGCATGCAGCACTTTTTAAAAAGACATGTTTTGTTCACTCTAGTTTTTTAAAAACTATTGTACTCATATTTTCAAGTTCTGTGTTAAACTCTTTCCATTTTTCAGCTATTAGAGACATGCACATTACCAGAGAAGTTTCTACAGTCCTGAGGATTTTCGAGATAACAGTACTTAAAATTTATAATGACGTGTTCCACTAGTGAGGCCACCATTGCTTCCATCCTGGGGAACTACTGCTACAAGAACCACTGGATATTTGAAAGATTCTTACTTGTTCCTTCCTCCACCGGCCCTCTCAAAGTGAGTGAATCGGTGAATGGTTCACTTCTAGAAATCACACTAGATCTCATCACTGAAACCCCTCACTCCGGCAGGTGAGGATTTAATGGAATTATCTGACGTCCTTGGAATAATCATTACAATTTTAGTAGGGCTTAGTGCAATACTCTAGGACTCAAAAGATAAAAAAGATGTTATTTCCGTTCTCAAAAACTTTTAGTAATTCCAAAGTAGGGCTTGTGAACTCAAACTCCTTTAAGGCACAGGTGGGTAACAAAAATAGCTAACATTTATTAAGTGCTGACAATGTGCCTATGCTGTGTGCTTACGTGGGTTTAATCCTACCTTAGGGACCGTTCCCATTTTATAAATGATGACACTGAAGCTCACAGATTTAAGTAGCATCATTAAGGCTGCAGACCTCATAAGTGACAAAGCCAGGATTTGGAACCATGTAGTCTATCTTCTAAGTTCGTATGCCTAACCTCTATGTACCTGCCAATAATAGGTAAGAAGACTGTCCTAACTTCCAGGATAACACAGTACACCGGTGGGCACCACAGTGAACTGCAAAGTACAAGATTTCTTTAAAGACATTAAATCACACCATTTTCGCTGCCCAAAGGACATGTCTATGGGCCAAAATGGTCTGAGGCTGCCACTCTGTGATCTTTGTAAAATGGAGTCCCAGATGGCACTGCAGGGTTGCCAGGCTCTGGCCTCTACCCACTCATCAAATCTCATCTTGTGTCCTGCACAAGGTCTGCGTTTCAGTCAATGGAAGTGCTCACCGTTTAACAGCTGTGCCCAGGGTTTCCACCACCTGTGCCTTCGTCACTCATAATATTCCTACCATCTAGGAGATCCTTCCTACGGGCCTCTAACTTTCCTAAAATCATACGCCCTCAAAGCCAACTCATCCAGGAAGCCTTCCCTGGTCTGAGGGATTTAGTCTCTCCCTCTGTAGTTCTTTAATTGGACCTTTTATGGCCCTCTTCGTTTTCTGCCTGGAATGACGCTTGGGTAAACGTCGCATCTTCTTCCCACTGGAACAAGCTGAGGGCAGATCCAGTCTCTTTTTAATCTCGATTGACCCTATACTCCCTTTCCCTCTTTGAGATGCCTAAGCATGGTACCTGTGCCACCTTTTGCGGACTTATGTGTCCCAATCTTTTACTACAGGTATTGGGGTGTGTGTGTGTGTGTGTGTGTGTGTGTGTGTGTGTGTGTGTGTGGTCACTATTAGATTCCTGCTCCTCCAAAGAAGATATCATGTTGCATTCTCTTTGCCTTACCTATCGCATCTACTAGAGTGTATTCTGCACATGGTAAGGAAATGCGTGGATGAAAGAGTAAATGTAATGGTCGCATATGGTAAGATAATGGGTAGGCATGACTCAGTTGTATCCAAATTATGGATATTAAAGGGATAATAAAACACTGAAAAATATTCCTAGCTAACATTTATTGAGTAGTTCTAGGTACCAAGTGCTGTGCTAAACCATTTACATGCATTCTTGTTATTTTCATGTTACACAGATGAAGAAATTCAAATTCAGAGATGTCAGATAATATTCCCAGGGTAACACATCTGGTGAGGGGCAGATCCAGGACTAGAACGTAGATCTGTAAGATTCCAGTATCTTGGTTCTTAACCTCTATAGGATGCTGCTAAAATACATAGCTTAAGAGGTCAAGGAGTCACTCATTCTCTCAGGGTGGCTATTAATAGGAGGAACCCAGCTAACGATATTAGTTATAAAAATAACATGCATATACTTGCCCCATTTCTGTCCAGGGTGCACAGCACCTGAGCTCTAGGACCAGTCCTGCCACTAGCTAGTTGTTTGACCCTGGGCATGTCCCTAAGTGAATTTCCCCAACTGGTAAATGAACAAGTAGGTTGGATGATTTTTAGGGTCTCTCTAATACCCTGTGACTATGATTTATGGACACCCTCCAGTATGTGTGACAGACCAATATCTAACACTTTAAGTACAGTGAAATTTAAAATTTTCAATCCTTA